ATTGGTTGAGCAACTGATAAAGCGGCTTGGCCAGTGATGCCTTGTGAGGCAAAAATGGCATGTAGAAGTTCAAGAGGCTGAGGAATGCCTGCAGCTCCACCTTGGAGGTAGGTGTGGGGGCATTCTTGATGGCTTCCAGTTTGGAGGGGGTGGGGTGGAAGCCCAGGATTTCCATTTATGGCACAACAAAGGAGCATTTGCTGCGCTTTAATTTTAAGCCTGTGCCCCTAAAATGGTTGAGGACCTTCTGAAGAACTTTGATGAGCCCTGATCGACTGCGGGCAGTGATCAGGATGTCATTGAAGTAGGGAACCATGCCAGGGAGCCCATGGAGCAAATGCTCCATGAGGCTCTGGAAAATCCCCGGGGCAACAGAGACACCAAATTGTAAGCGGCAGCAGCGGAAAGCACCCTGGTGGGTGACGATTGTCTGGGCAGTGGCGGCCTCATCATCCACTAGGAGCTGCTGATGGGCTTGGCCCAAATCCAGTTTGGCAAATATGCAGTCCTGCCCCAAAGAGTGGAGCAGGTGCTGCACAACTGGAACTGGATATGGATTTGCAGGGAGGGCAAAGTTGATGGTCGACTTAAAGTCGGTGCAGATCCTGATAGAGCTGTCAGCCTTAACGGGGACCACTATGGGGGTCTCCCATTTGGAGTGGTCTACTGGGTCCAGGACCCTTTGTGCCAACAATTTGTTGAGCTCCGCATCAACCTTGGCCCTCAAGGCAAATGGTACTCTGAGTCTTAAGTCGTATGGGGCAACCTGGGGGTCTAAGTTCAGAGAGATTGGAGAACCCTTATATTCACCCAATGTTCCGTTGAAGACATCAGTGAACTCGGAGATGACGTCCTTGACAGTAGGTGCTATGGTGGAGGTTTGATGTACCCCCTGGAGTGACAGACCCAGTGAGGGAAACCAGTCCATGTCCAACAGGGCCGGCAGGGGCTTCCCAACAACCAAGATGGGGAGTCTTCCATGGAAGTTTCAACAGTCCACCCAAACCTCATAACTGCCCAGGGTTGGAATTTGAGTCCCCTGGTAGTCCTTTAGGGTGTTGCAGCTGGTTCCGTAAGATAGATGGGCACATCTTAGAGAGGGTACTCCAGGAGAAGAGGGAGCGGGAGGACCCTGAGTCCACCTCCATGATGCAAGGAGCCCCTTCAATCATCAAGGAGACTGTGATCTTTTTTGCGTCAGCCGAAGCCTTGCTGATTGATGCGGCAGGGCCCTCAGGCATCTTCTTGTTGATGGCATAACAGTCATCTCTCTGCATCTCTCTGCCGGCATTACTGGCAGGCAGGCATTAGTCAGTAGTCGGTTTCAGGTGCCAGAGGCAAAATAGCACGGCAGACATGAGTGAAGTGGCCCTTCAGATTGCAGCAGTGACAGGTGGCCATTTTAAAGGGGCAAGTTGTGTGGGTGTGATTGTCGCCACAGCCCATGCAACCAGCCACTGGGGAATGGGCAGTAGCAGGTAGTTGAAGTCTTCTCAGTTGTGCCCGGAGGCAGTCGACCTGATTCTCATCAAGGTTGTCTAAGGGAGCCGACTCATCAATGAAGCAGGCTCTTTGGGGGGGAGGTGCGATCAGCTGCTGGCACCATTGAATCTCAGCCGTAGACCTATCTGACAGCTGTAAACCTATCTGATAGTTCGACTTCATCCACCGCCTGCTGTAAGGTAATATTGGCTCGTGCTAGCAATCTCCGCATGAGGCAGACATCGTGAACCCCACGGACAAATTGCTCGACCAGGGAATCACCCAAGTCGATGAACTTGCACTGGATGGCCGCCGTTCGGAGTGACTGTAAGAATTGGCTTACAGTCTTGGAGACTTTTTGAACACACTGCCGGAAAGCATAGTGGTGGGCTATGCGAGAGGGCGTTGGAGCATAGTGGTTTTTAAGCTTGGCAATCAAAGTGTCCCAAGTCAATTCGTGGACTGGCAGGGATAAGGCTAGAGCCCTGGCAGTATTAAACATGTCAGGTCCACACAAACTGAGGAAAAAACTGCATTTTCGGTCATCTGGTTGCTGAAGATTATTATTAGCAATAAGGAAACACTGGAATCGCTTGAGGAAACCAGCCCACAATTCATGAGCGAGCCGAAAGGTGAGTGAAGCCATAGTGATGAGGTAAAAAAAAAATTTCCTTGAAGAGAAGAGGAATTAATTGTTCCCTTCTCCTTTAGCTGTTCTAGGGAGGAATCTTCAGCATCTCACCCTCGCCGCCAGTATTGAAGACTGAGCTGATTGAAGAGACATGGAATGGCTGAGGT